AAAAAAAAAAAAAAAAATTAACCTAAAGTAGAGATGTCACTTGTGGTGGAGGTCAATACAAACCTCAGTTTTCCTTTGTTGTGCTATTTACAACTGAGGAAAATGAGATGGAAAGATCTTGAGGCTTTGAATTTTCTATTTCAGCAGAAGTCTGAGATTATCTAATTTGCTGTTTACACTCACCCTAACAAGCCACATAGTTCTTTGGGTATCAGTGCAAGCTTGAGAACAGAGTAGATGTCCACCCAGAAGGGGCCATACCTTGGCTCCTCTGCCTGTCAGTGTTGGACCCTGAAAGCCCTTTTGTAGGAGATTTCTGCATTGTATTTATGGATGTTAGACTTTTGATGGATGTTTGCAGTTCATTAAGAGCTGTTTTTTTCTGGCTTGGAGCAGGCATTGATTAGTAACTGCACGAGGGCATTTTTCTGAGCCCAATTCTGCCTGGGTTCCTCACCATATAACAGACTGAAATGGATTACAGTGCTTTCTACCTGTAACTGGAGGTAGAACTGGACAGTGGATACGTTAAGATCCATTGCCTGTTGGGCCGGGGATTTAGCTCAGTGGTTTGGCCACCTGCCTTTAAGCGCAAGGACCCGAGTTCGATCCCTGGTACCAAAAAAAAAAGTCATTGCCTTTTGCCAGCATTGAGCCAGAGCCAGTCATTTAGTAAGAAATCAGCTAGTCTGTGTGAGGTGCCAGCCTATATTAAAATGGTTTTTTCCTTGCCATATGCTGCCGAAAACTGAATCCCCTTGTGATGAAATGTTTCCTGTCGGGAAGAAGAGCCAAGGAAAGCAATGAAGAAAGATCTCACTGCAGCCTTTACTGAACTCCATTTGCCAGTCAGGCTCCTTGCTCAGTTCGAAGCCGGGAAGCACCAGTGTAACAGCTTCACTCTGAAGGCTCTGTGTTCCCGATCCCCCTCACATGGCTTCTTGAAGCCTCTCAAGTTTTCTCTGAAGAGCTTTTATGTGTAATGACCTGTCAGAATATTACTGGAAACCTGCCTAATCAAAAGAACTGTATAAAGTACTGTTGTAATCCATTTTTAAGGTTCAGAGATTCAGTTTATAAAGTATATTTCACTTCTTGCCAATTTATGTAAACAAATTTTCATGTTTAAGTACTGCTTACATTAGGTGTGCCTTTACATTTTCATCAGTATAAATGGAACATTTAAAGCCAGCCAACAACAGAACAGATAACCCAGCTCCATTTTGTTTCTGGGTTAATTGCACAAGGATGAAGGGCTGTGATCTGGTGAGTTGGGTGTTTTTAATTTTCAGGATGACCTACAGACATGAAGGAGGAATGGAATGGTGAGGTCATTTGATCTGTTGCAGGTGAGTGGTGGCCAAAGAGCTATTCTTCCTGCTTTCGTGTCCATGGGAGCATAAAGAAATTAAAATTGCCTTTTAAAAATTGCCTTTCTGAAAAAGTTATTTGCTCAAACTAGAAATGGGCCAAACGTAGTTCCTGGCAAAATTGGCTGGCCAGAATTTGAGGAGAGCATTCTCAGCCACCACCTTGATCCCGTGCCCGCCTGCCCCTTTTTCTCTTGACCATACCAGTGTGAGCACATACAAAACAAGTCCCTTTCTCATATGATTGGGACAGGTGGTTTAACATCAAAAACTAAAAGAATGAAAAACAGTTCATTTTTTAATTTTTTTGAGACAAGGTATTAACTTGCCAGGGATGGATGACCCCTGGTAGCTGAGATTATTAAACCCTGTACCACAATGCACAGCCTCATTAACTTTAACACACACATGGATACTTCCCTCTAAACTGGAGTTGAGTTTGGGGTTGAGAGACTGAGCAAGCCACAGTGCGGGGCAGTCCCAGACCATGAGCGGATTGTATTCTAAGGGACCTGTAGAGAGGGTTTAGTCCACGTGAAGCGCTGTCCGCTGCTTTTCGGTCACAGGTCTTGGCAGGACTCAAATTCACTGCTGTTAAAAAGGAACTCACGGGGCTGGGATTTTGGCTTAGTTATAGACCATTTAACCTAACTTGAACAAGAGCCTGGGTTCCATCCCCAGCACCACAGTGGAGGGGGGATGTGCTGGTGGGCCAGGGCTTAGTGGTTCCAACGCCTGCCTGGCAAGCGTGAGGACCCGAGTTCAATCCCTGGTACCCCCCAAAATACAAAACAAAACAAAAAAACCCTGCGGGAACTTCTTGATGTATTAGCCAGGTGGGGCTCACTTGGAATTGTGTTCTGTCAGTGCTAATCAATCATATCTCTGGGTCTTGCCCTAGGATTAGCCTTCAGGGTGTAAATAGCAAAGAGCTTCATTTCACGAGTGTGAAAGCTGAAGAGATTGACTAACTTGTCCAAGCCTGTTCTTGGGCAAGGAGAGGTGGACTTGGGAACCCAGTGAGACTGATCTGAACATGAACTTCAAGAAGAACCTATGCTCTTGTTATTTTGCTTGTTGCTTGGCCAGGACTTTCTATAGGTTTCAGAGAAGCGAGAATATGGGCCTTGGGGTTGGTGAGCCTGCTTCATCCTGTTCCGGCCCCTCCTCTCCCCTGCTCCCATCTTGCAGCTGAATAGAGCAGGCAGATATGATCTAGGGCTTCAAGTCTAGTCTTTATTTGTGTGGTCCTAGTTGGAAAGCGCTCTAGCAGCCCTGTTTCGTCTGCTGGCCACTCCCAGCAGGCAAAATACCTCAGTGATAAGTTTATTTTCCCTGCTGAGGCTGTGGACACGTGGTTGCTAACATGGTTTATTCTGTAGCTGTCTCTGTGGCAGCTTCACCAGAGGAAGCAGATCTGGGCTCTGCCATGTCTTAGAAGATTAGAAGCTTGTCTTTCTTTACTCTTTTTTGGGGGGTAGGGGTGTGGTGTGGTCCTGGAGATCAAACCAAGGGGTGAAACAAAGGAGTTGTGTCTCCAACTCTAATTTTCTTTTCTTTTTTAGTCCTTTCTTAACTTTTGAGACAGGGTCTCCATAAATTGCCCAGGCAGGACTTTTGATCCTCTCGCCTCGCTTTATTTTGTTTCTTTTTATTGAGTTTATTGGTACATTTTAGTTATGCAGTACAGTTACATTCATTATTGGGATTTTGTACCTTTACATGACAGGTCTTGGTTCTCATTTTTTCCCCTTGTCCCCGCCCTTCACCCCGTCCTCCCCTTCTTGCCTCGCTTTACTAGAGTTCTGGGATTACAAGCATGGTAAGGGAAGGATCAGGGCAGTGTGTCTAGATAAGCCCTCAGGTCGGCACCCTTACTTTGCTGGGATTCATTTAGCGTATGTGAGCTGCTACTGGATTTAGGTAACACTGACTGCCACTCCAGATTTGGCCACTAGGTGGCACTGTTGGGCGTCCATATGTGTTACGGATCTCATGACATTTGACAATAGTTCAACCTAACTGCTGTTTGGCCAGAGGAGGGAAACACACTAACCAGTAAGTTTAGGTGATCTTCGGTAAGCTTATTAAGAGCTGTAAGAGTCCAGCTCTTTCTAGCTAAAATAAACCTTTGAATCTTTGTACATCACCCTCCTGATTTGACTTGTGCATAGATATTTACTGACCCAAGGCAAAATGGAAAGGACAGGCTGTCCTGCTGCAGTGTGGCCTCAGGGAAAGGCTGCCCCCAGTTGGGGAGGCCTGAGGCATACTGGAAACCTTACTGTTAACCCCCAGCATCTTTACTGGAGGAGGTCAAGGGCAGAGCTGGCACATGCTGCTGTGGCTTTCTGAGCATCCAGAATAGCTGCATCCTGGGGAGCAGACAGGAAACAGTTGTGTCTTCTTTCCTGGGTGGGCTGTGCACGGAGCACTGAGGAGGAAGAAAAGCCGTGAAAATGTGATGAGTATTGGAGTAGGGACAGAGCTTGTGAGCAGTGGCTGAGCCAGCCCCCTAGCCTGTGTCCCTTGCATCCTTTGGCTTTGTGCTTTCCTACTGTACTGTAACCCTGCCACGGTCCTGAGTTGCATAAACACTTCATAGCACTCCCTACCACATACATTCTTAGGGCTTTCCATATATTATTTAATCCTAACAAGGTAGAATTTTTCTGTGGGTAAGAATGCCATTTTGGGGCCAAGGATTTAGCTCAGTGGTGCCGGTGCCTGCCTCACAAGCACAAAGTCCTCTGAGTTCAATCCCTGGTACCCCCCAAAAATGCCACTTTGATGCAAAATTGTGCCCTTATTAGCCTTAGGGTTTGAAATGAGCAGGTCTGCTTGTTCTATGTCTGCCAGATCCTTGGAGGGAGGAAACTCAAGTTTCTTAAAGGCTATGCCCAAGGAAGCAGTGGCCTATTTCTTAGTTTGAACTAATGGCAATCAGTTCCTTTTTTGCCTCTAATGTTAATCTCCTGATGCACTGAAACCATATGGGAAAGTGAATGGCATGAGAGGAGTGGGCTTTTTCTAGCCCCGGGTCAAGCTGCCAGGAACTTCTAATAAGCAACAGAAGAGAGCAGCAGAGGTCCAGTATTGAACTGCTTTCTCCTTCAGTTCCCAGAGCTGGGGTGGGGCCCAGAGAAGGGAACCTCAGAAAGGGGCACCCAGGGCCACTCGTTTTCCTTTGTCTCTCTGAACTGCAGTATGGAACCTCTCCGCTCATTTCCTCATCAAAATTGCTTGCTGTTTGGGTGGGAGGAGAGAGATGATTTTATTACTGAAGATTAGGCCAGGAATCTTGATATGTGCCTGTGGTCCCAGCTACTCAGGAGACTGTGGCAAAAGTTTTGAGTCCAGATTATCTCAAATCTAAGAAAAGAAAAAGGAAAAGGTCTGGGGGTTTATCTCAGTGCTCCTTGGACTGGGTGTGCATAACTAATGGAAGAAAGACCAAGGCTTCAGAAGGGTGAAAATTTGAATTGATGCTTGAACTAGGTCATTGCCAAGCTGGCCAGGTGGCCTTGCTGAGGATGGGTATCTGGCATGCTTAAAGATGAGTGCAGGAGATCCCAGGGCACTTTGTCCTTACCTGCTCCTCCCCTTATAAGTTCAGTGGTTTCATTTTTTCCCCCCAGAGTTCTAAAATCAGTGTATATTTGCAGTACAAAATAATTATGGTCATCCTGGAGAACTGGATGATCTTGATCGTGTATGTTTCGTTTGACTGCAGCTCCTTTAAGTTACCACTAAGGCCAGGCAGAGGCACTGACTACACATTGTTCCATCCAGGTGTCTGAGTAGGACAAGGAGTGGTCAGAAGGAGACATTTCTAGGGAAAGAAAGCCAAAGAACAAGTATTTCAAGTGCTGTGGACAACCATGGAAATAAGAGCTAACAACATGTGGTATACATGAGGAATATTGTGGGTATTTGCAGATGCCAAGTCGTATAATCTTCACAACATCCCAGTGAGATCAGTACTATAACATCCACTTTCCAGATAAGAAAGATGGGCTTTGGAGAGAGCTAAAGACTATCGACTGGTACAAAGAGGAGCCAGGATTGAAGTCAGAATCAGCCCATAGGAACAGAAGACGGAAGGCTTCTGATAACTCTTGAGCCTGGCTCCTGAGCATGTGGCTCCCCAAAGCAGCAAACTATTCCTAGAAACCCCAAAATAACTGCTGATGTCCTTATGGACTGTGGTTTTCTTTCTCCTTCCCCTAGTTGGGTAAGGCTTATGAAAGCCTTATTTTAGAGAACTGAGTGAGTCTTTTCTCCTAAACTGGTAATTCAACCAGGTTGGAAGTGTGTTTCAGCAGCCTCTTCAAGGCCCATGTTATTTGATGCCTCGGCTGCTAGGCACACAGGTCTCTGCAGGGACCCTGCCCTCCGGGGCCTGCTGGGAAGAACCACAAACAACGTCCCCTCAGGTGCGGCCAGCCCAGGCATATTCATTGTGTTCCTGGCAAAGAGCAAGTCCAAGACAGCCATAGCGATAAATCACATAAAAGTGTGGGAAATCACAAGGGGACTGGCCTGCCTGGGGAAAAGGAACTGCAGCATCAGCAGGTGTGGCCCCAGGTAGGATGCTTTATCCAGCCAGAAGTGCTGACCCAGGAAGTTCCAGACCCAGGAAACACCTCACAGGCTGCAGTGCTCAGGGTCTCCGAGCACACACAACAGGATCTTCTATCTAGAAAGAGGCCATAGACAAGGCAGTGTTCTGACTTAGGGTGCTCCCCCAGTTGGGCAGTGAGAATGAGAAATACACAGCCACCCCATGGCTTCCAGACTCCCTGGGCTTCCTCAGGAAAGTCTCACCCACTGTGAGGCAAACGAGGTGGGCAGTGTCACGAGGCTTGCTGTCCTCCCAAAGCTACAGTGGCAGTGTTATACCCAGCACTCAGGAAGCGTCAGAGGCTGTGCCCGACCCTTGGGTTACCTCAGCTCTTCCTCACTTCTGTGAGGGAACTAACCTGCCCAGGGACTCAGGTTTGCCGAGATTCAAGTCCAGGTAGTGTGACTAGAACCTAAACAGTGCGCACGACACTGTGACTCAAGAGGCCAACGGGAATGGACCGCTGACCTAGCTGTAGATGCAAGCGGTTTTTCTAAAAGAAATGAATGAGTTTCTCTTGCACATAACTCCTGGAAGAAAGCCCAAATACTGATCTACAGAACCTAGCATGGTCTTGCCTTTGCCTCCCCTACTCACCTTATACTGTGGCCTCATGGAGTTGTTTTCACTCCTTGGCCATAATAGTGGTAGCTACCTTTTGTTAAGGCTCAGCTCAGTGTTTGTACACATTTTGTTACTTAATATTCACAACAATCCCAAGGAAGGTGGTGAGGTCTCCAAATAGTAAGGCGATGGAAGCTTTAGAGAGGTTAAACCCTGTGTCCAAGCCACAGAGCACTCTGGCTCTATTGTTCAAGCTCTCCTACGCACACCGTACTGTTACCCTACTGCTGTGCGCTCTGACTAGCACACCTTTCTCTTCACTGCCTCGGTACAGCAGCAGTACTTCCTCTGGAGACAGCTGGCAGTTTCCTCCATCAGGGAATGCTGTCATCACTTCCTACCCTTCCACCAGCTTGAGTCTGGGGTTCTTACTGCAGCAGCACCTTCTACTTTCTGTTGGTGCACGTAGGAGTATCTCATGCCCTGTCTGGAGGAGCTGCGAGCTCCCTGAGGTGCATTAGTGACCCCTCCACATTCCTGGTCTTAGCACGGTTCCTAACAGTTCCTAAGAGTTGGGTGGTAAAATATCACTGCTGGATAGACAGTGGGCACAGGATGAATCTGAAAGAGACTTCCCTCCATATTTGCTCCTTGCAGAGAAGGATGGCAGAGGGCCGGGGACACCAAATGAGGCCGTATCAATCCTACAGAGTCTTTGCCGATGTCCTCTGCTGTGGCTTTGTCGTGCTCCTCTCCCACAGCCAAGGCTCATCCCAAGGGCAGTTCCACCATCCCACCCCAGTTTATAGCGGGTTCTCACGGACATGAATATTAATGTGCCAGGGTTAATTATTCAGAAAGTATTTCAGCTGACTTGCTTTTCATCTCATGATGGGGAGCTTCAAAGCCCACGACTGCCCTTTGGAAAGGAAAGTCATCCTCCTTGGGTGATTGCTAGCTCTCAGCCGTTAGTTCCTCACAACCCAGGAGGCACACACGGTGGGCGTAGGGCACCTCTTCCTCGTCTGCAGACTTACCAAAGGGCTCAAGGGGAGCAGCTGGGGACGCACCTTCTACACTGGGTAGCAGAATCCTGCACGACAGGTGTGGTGTGACTCGCCTGGGGCACAGTCTATAGAGGAAGAACTGAGTCTGCTTTGGTGATTCCGATGATATTCCCTTCCAATCCGAGACGAGGAAAAACCGTTTTTGCTTTCAGAAAAATTAGGGGATAAAAGAATATGAAAAGATGAAGTCTTCAGGATGTTCTCTAATTTCTAGGATCTCATAAAATCCTGCGATTATTGTTTGCATTTAGTGAATTTCTTTATATGCCACATATGGCCCTGAAAACGTTAAGACTTTAAAGGACTTCTCTGAGTGAAAAGTTACAGATAAATAGTCCTCCTCTGCCTTTCCCCTTCTGGTGTATCTAAGGGTTTTATCTGAGCTCAGTGTTGTTTCATTCTTTTGTTCATTGCTCAGAGAATAATTATGGTTCACTAAATCAGCTTCCTCAAGATATCAAGATGGGCTGGGGATTTAGCTCAGGGCCATTGCACCTGCCTGGTAAACAAAAGGTCCTGAGTTCGATTTCCGGGACCAAAGAACAAAGAAAAAAATATCATGTAGATTGTATGTTATTTAATTTTACTTTTAACCCTGTTTTATCCCCCTCCATCTGATGAGTTGTCTTCCATATCAAACACATTTCCATGAGAGATTAAAAATTAAGTGGACTCGAGTATGAATATATTAACAAAATTTACATTTAGGCTTGGTATAGCTACAAAATCAGATTAGAAAAAGAAAATCCAGACCTTCAGTGACAAGATTTGTGAGCGGGTTTTAAAAACCCGTTTACTCAATTCCAGTCAGGCAGGCAGGTGTGCTGCCGCCATGTGCTTAATTGTCAGGAACACTTCCAGCCAACCCAGGAGAGCAAGCCGGCCGTGTGCAGGGGTGAGAGGGTGGGGACTTCAGTTTTCCTGAGTGTGAGCAGAGATGGAAGGAAGGGCAGCTGGCCAGGGCTGCAGAGGTCAAGGTCCTTCTGTTTGCTCCAGTAGCAAGTGGTGCTTTGAGAAGTGGTGTGAGGTCTACGACTTCACCTCGAGTGTGGTGTCCAGAGTGAGCGCTCTCTGAGTGGACCTGTGAGCAAGGAGGAGCAAAGCACGATGCTCTGGACAGCAGCCAGGGGCGGGGCCACAGGGCTTTGATCCCTGGGAGAGCCGTGCTGCCAGAAGATGTTGCTCTGCTCTCCCCTCCTCTCTCCTACCTAGGAAACACTGGAGAGTGAAGCTGCCCAGGGCCGCTATTCAGTAGAAAGTGGAGAAACAGTGCGCTCAAGCGGGTGGTGAGCTTTCTCTGTGGGTAACTCAGCATCAGGCAGATCCTCGACAGGCATGGGGTGCACACCTGTGATCCCGGCTCTGGGAGGCTGAGGCCAGCCTGGCTGTACAGTGAGATTATCTCACACTCTCCCCAAAAGGCAAACACCCTGCCATTCCTGGGCTCAGAATGGTCTTGTGTGGCGATAGGACTGCCCTCTTACCCCAGACAGATGGTGACAGTCAAAGACCATGAAGGGCTCATCTTTTCAAAATGATGAACAGATGAAAATGAAGTATCTAGTAATAGGCTGGATGTGGAGGAGGTGGATGCCCCTTCCTCTATTTACTCTTCCAGCTCCTGAAGCCTGCGGGAATAAGCAAGAGGGCTGCTGGGCTCCTGATTAGGTTTGTAACCCAGACACTATCGGTCCTGGCAAATTAAAAAAACATTAAGGGTGTAGCCAGGGATGGTACATTTTTCACTTAACCAAATTGACCAGAGGAGCACTGACTGTCCCAACAGTCTGGAAAGGAAGGCTGGCCCCCTGTGTGATCTTCAGTTCCCGGGTGTGCTTAGGAGACCCATTTGCAGGCTTTGACTGGCCGTGTGGGCAGTTAGCCAGTTAGCACGAGGGCTGTGGCCCCTGTCTGGCAGGTGTCATTACTGTCCAGATGGGGACAGGGTGGACCCAAGCGAGCAGTGCCTGTTCCTGTGGCGAAGCAACAAGTCCTGGCACACACCTGGCCAGGTGGAGCTGGGCATCCTCTCTGAGGGTGGAGAGCAGCAGCATGTCTGTCTCACCAGCCTTGCCTCTTCTCTCAGTCAAACGTGCCTCCCACTTCTGCTGCCCTCCGCACAGCTGCTCTTGTTGGGGGCTGTGGGCCTCACTCTCCCTTAGGGTTGCCCAGAGCACCCCTCTCCTTTCAGAGGGGTTCGGCCCCCTGCCCCCTTCGCTGGGAGGCCAGCCGACTAGGATGTCCCTGCACTCTGGCTGGTATTATTGGCAAAACGATTGACCCCCACGCACACACGCACTGCCTCTTCTCTCCCCAACCCTGAAATTCCACTTGCTCTTTGCACCCCATCATTTTGCCCTCATTCCACCTCATTTTCTCCTGCACAAGTAGCGAACGAAGGCTGATCTCGGGCCGAGTCGCTGGTACCTAGGAGAGAGGCAGAACCACGCCATAGTTCCGTCACAAAAGTTGGTTCCAAAAGCGTTCAAGCGTCTCGGGAGCTCCTGGGGCTGCCCCCCTCCCCACCCGCGCCGGGACCCTGGCAGTCCGGGTTCCTCGGGAAGGACTGGGCTCCAGCTTGCAGTTCCGTCTCCCCAGGCACCACCGCTTGCGGTCTGGGCTCCCCGCCCCAGCGCCACGCACGGCCGTTCCGCCACCCGCGGTCTGACCCTCACTCCCACCCTAACAGGCACGCCTCACACACGCAGCAAAAGTGCGGCCAGAAGCAGTTCCCTCCGACCTCCCTCCCGTCCCTTCCCCTCCCCGCGAGGACTCTGTCTTCTTCCCCAGGAACCCTGAGTCTGTAGCCTCAAATCTCCCACGTCCCGGTGAGCAGTATAGGTAGAGAGGGAAGACAGGAGGAAAGGGGTTCGGGGATCCCAAAACGCTTACGGAGCGCCTGAGCCCCATGATTTAGCCCGGGGCTGCAGCCGGCCCCCGTGCCCCAGCCCGGCCCGCTCCTGCCCCGGAGCAGCCTGCGTGACCTTGAGCCGGAGG